GTGGTGGGGGGGGGGGGGCTGCATGCTGAAATAAGACTGAAGACAACCTTCTCCCACCAGGTTTTGGGAGTGAGATGGGAAAAAGCTAATAGAAGAAGCATCCACTGCCCAGATTCACAATAGGTGTAGAAAGGTAAAAAGGGACAGACAACACTCAGTCTCCCTTCTACTTGTGAAGCAAATTTATTTGTAAGACATCCAGGCAATATTTCAATAGTTTCCTAAAATTTGCCTTCTGAGGAAGAATGCTTTCAGGGTTGATAGAACTATTGAATGAAGACATGCTGCTGCAGCTTTACACACACACACACACACACACACTATATCTAGGGATTTGTTTAAAGAGGTATGTGTGTAACTTCAAGCTAAAAATCCCACCACAAAATTCTGCCTCATTTCCTGTAAACTCAAGGTTTAGGTTCAGACTAAATTGGACATTTCCATCAATTCTCCCTTCCTACTGCAACCCCACCCTGACCTGGAAGGCCTAGGCTAGCGTGATCTCGTCAGATCTCAGATGCTAAGCAGGATCAACCCTGGTTAGTACTTGGATGGGAGACCACCAAGGAAGTCCAGAGTTGCAGCACAGAGGCAGGCAATGGTAAACCACCTCTGAATGTCTCTTGCCTTGAAAACCCCACGGAGTCGGCATAAGTCAGCTGTGATGATCAGTGGGAAGGGGGAGGCAGGAAAGAATGATTTTCCTGATGGAGAATTTAGTCTGGATGCAGCCCATGAAGAATTATTCCTATGTACCAACTGTTCCTGTGGCAGCTTTCTACAAGGTTTGCTCCAGGGACTTTGGAAAGGCAGTTATTTCTAATTAGCAGTGCTCTGAAAACATACTTGCAGCGGTACAGGAAGCAAAAGACAGAAGGAATTAAGCCTGTACACTGGGAAAACACAAAATATCTCAGAATCCTAGTCTGAAAATTGCTAGTGTGAATTACAAGTACCCGTTGTAGCAACTGATGCAGTATTAATATGTAATTTCTCCTTCTTTTCACCCCTTGCTAAAATTCATTGTTTTAGAAATCATCTGTCCATATGAACTCATAGGCTGTCATATTCACGGGTAACCAAATCCTTTGGCACATAAATCATCCTTGGCATGTAGCAAGAAAAGAGTGGATTGCATTACCGAATAGCTGCCACCCCATGGCCAACTTCATGTATGACACCACTGATGAGAATTGCTGCAAAGAAGTAGGACAGCTGACTGATGGGAAGATTTACGCCAGGCACCTGTTTCCAAAAAACAGAACAAAACAAGATGCAGAAGAACAAGTACTGCAAAAGCAGGGGCTCACTGAAAGAAGCCATTTTTCTAATGACAATATTCTTATATGGACATCATTTCCAAGTACAGAACGTACATATATGCCATGTACATTTCACAGTCTTATGTATACAACAGGCAGCCACAGGCAGGAGGGCTTCCCATGGAGATCCACAGACTTCTAGGAATACTTGAGCCTTTACTTTAAAAATAATATTCTGACAAAAGAATTGGGTGTTTTGTTCTTTGGTAAGGGCCAAAAAAAGGTAGGTCTATGACATTTGCTACCTTGCAGCATTGATACTACAACCGTGTTGTGTTATACCAAACAGAAATTTAATCTGTTAAGGTAATCTTGGAACCTTAGCCCTGAAACCAGCTCTTTCAAATGCTGCATTTGCTGAATCAAACGGTGGAATTACAGGAACCCTAGTCTTCTCAGTTACTGAGTTTCCCAGAAACATTGAAAGCTAGCACCTTGAATGGAGAGCACTTCTTGATAATGAATAACTAGTATCTATTCAAGCATAAGCCAAGCCTCTATGAAATGCTATGATAACAGTAAGGAGGGTCATCTCAATATGCTATCTGTTTCTCCCAGAGAAGAGCAGCTAGTCAGCCTCAAGGTCTTTGATCTTCCCCTAGAAGGTGGCTTTGCCACTAAGCTTGTACATACCACGCTTCTGGAGAGTAAAAATCCTTTCCAACCAGGAGGAGCTTTTGTGCTGGTGACCTTTTGATGTAGTGGTTAAGTGCGTGGACTCTAATCTGGGAGAACTGGGTTTGATTCCCCACTCCTCCACACACAGCTGCTGGATGACCTTGGGCAAGCCATAGTTCTGTCAGAGATGTTTCTGTCAGAGCTCTCTCAGACCCATCTACCTCATAGGGTGTCTGTTGTGGGGAGTGGAAGGGAAAGGAGTTCGTAAGCCGTTCTGAGACTCCAAGTGAAGGGTGGGGTATAAATCCAGTGTCCTCCTCCTCCTCCTCTTTTAGGCAATCAATGTTTCACAGACAACTGATGCAGGTCTCTACAGGCCAGTGGGCAAGAGCAAACTGTGAACTAGTAACTTCTGAGGACTTGTGTGAAAGACGGACTAAAGTTGTTGGACTAGTTCAGTAAAACTGGTTCTTCAGGTAGGACGATTGCTGGGCACCTTGTAGATTTCTTTTCTCCCCACCCTACATCTGTATCCCTATCCTTCCAAGGAGCACAGCAACATATATACCCCATTTAGTCTCAAAACAGCCCTGCAAAATAGGCTAAGATATGGTAACTGGCACGGGGTCACCCATGTGCTCCCCCATGTCCCATAAAAATGGGATTTAAAAAATAGGCTATCCCATAATTCAGAACTGGGGACAAATAAGGCACAACTGGATTGATTGCTTTGGCAAGTAAACAAACAATTTCTGAGCAGGCTCCTTCCCTCTTGCCAATACCCTTTTTTCTTGGCCAAAGGGGCAATTTCATGAAGGCCAGAGAAAACAGCATTTGATGTGCATTTGACCAGTACAGCTATCACTTTGATGTTTCATGTACTTGTATACAGATGCACTGCAAAATATGGCAAATAACCCAGTGGGTTTACATTTCTCCCTAGTTAACTTACCTTATAAACATGGAGAGAGTCTAAAATTGTACTGTAACAAACCCTAAACCTAGATGAGAGGCTTGACAGTGCTATTCGAAGCAGAGTTATTCTCACTGACTCTGAAGGGTGTAACTCTGCTCAGGACGTCACTGTATCACAATTGAAAGGCTAATGCCTTCTTTGCAGATGTTGACTGACAATATCTTCCATTGCTTAATGACAGAAAAATACTCACCACAACCTGCAACATCTGATCATTCTGAGCTGTAGGAGCGTCAGTTAGCATCTGTGAGAGTGTCTGCATCAGTGTCTTCCCAAGGAGAACAACAGAACCAAACATAGCAGCTATGCCAAAAAACATTCCTAGACTAAACCTGAAACAAAGATGCCAATGTGTCATATTATATTTATTGTGCACTGCTAAATTTTTATTCATCTTTGATGGGAAGTGCTGAACCCCCTGAAAACTTCAGAGTCTCTTCCAATCACTGGATCAGGAGGATGTCAACAGCACAACCAAGACCAGCTTAACAAGCCAGGTCAGAAAATCCACCATGCAGCACAGTAAATGCACCCCCAGCCCTCCGATCTTCCCCACCAGGAACATGCATTTATTGTTGGATGGCTTAGGCCACAAAAGCCTATTCAAGGCTTAAACAAAAGATTATTCTATTTAGACATACAACACTATGTAAGCAGTCAGTCCCAGGACAGTAACTCGAATAAGCAGGATACAAAAGAACTTCCAGTAATTGTCCTATACAGGCCTGACTTATTATTCTGAAACAATACCATAGATAAAGAAATCTGGGTTTCCATCTTCCCCAGTTGTAAAACAGGCGGTTGAAGAGAGCAGTTTGCCATCGCACGTGAAATGGAGAGATGGTTAGGCCATATGATGCAAGCCGGTCTTCGTAAGATGTCTTCAGGGAGGAAGATGACTGAAAGAGAGAAAGGAAATCAGTTTGACAGAGAAGAAGTTTCAAGTTAGGATTGTGTCTGCATAAACCATGCTCTGCTGCAGCTCTTATTTTCATTTGTTCCAATTTCTCCCTCTTCTTGTCTTTTTCTATTTCCTAAAGTCTACTTTCTCCTCAGAGCACTGTGGGCTGTTTTTCAGGTCAAGTCATTAAAACTCAGTGAATATGTACAAAGCCTCAAGGAGATTCATGGAGGACAGGTCCATCAATGACTACTAGCCATGGTGAGTAAAGGGAGCCTCTGTATTCACAGACCGCAAACCTTCAAAATCCATGGCTAGGAGACAACACTGGGCCCTTCTGCTCTACTGTTGGACCTCAAGGGCAACTGGATGGCTACTGTGTGAGACAGGTTGCTGGACTAGATAAGCCACTGGTCTCATACAACAGGGCTCTTCTTAGATTCTTAGACAGCAGTAGACCCTGAACAGTAGAATGTCTGCAAAGGATCGTAGTATGTTCAGACATACGTCATGCGATCCATACACTGCAAAAATGCAGTTTACAAATCATGAACAAACCCATGAAAGAGGCATGGAGTTGGATTCTATGAAGTGTAAGGCACGCACAGAAGTGGCTCTTTCTCCAAGTTTCCCTTCCCCCATTAGTTTTTGATGACCCTGAACAGTTATATGCCAGGGATGACAGGTCCCATGTGGACAAAAAGCCAAGTGGACTGCACTGACAAGTGGCAATCAGGTGAAATTGCCCCTCTTGGTTCGTCTGTCAGTTGCACTTCAGCTCATATGATAGGCTTTGTTGATATAAGAGGCAGAGATGGGTGATTTCACTCACTTCTTCCTCCTCACTGCAGCCACCATTCTGCATGTCTTTTTGTACACGCAGGCACCCTGAATTATTGGCTTTTTTTGCAGGTTCAATGGGGATGCTGGGGAAAGGGGAAACATGGGAATAAATATGCTTTCAGAAATGCCTTGAGCTCACATTCTGTAGAATCCAACCAACACATGTGCTTCAGGCAAATGGAGGAAGCACAGCAGTTTGCCATGATTCCTGTCTTCCTCTGCTCCTTCATGAAAAGGAAGCCCCCTACAATAAAAGAAACACAAATAAGAACCACTTGCATAGAACTTCAGGAAGGGTCATTTGGGGAAAGATCCTCCACAGAAATATGCCTTCTCTCTGAATTTCCAGGTTTTTGAAAAGTAATTTTCAAGTTCTTTTCCTTAGAGATAAAGTTGTGAAAAACTGCTTGCATGTTCACTGCACCTTATAAAGGATGGAGGAGCAAAAGCTGAGATGGGTGTCATGCACCAGCCATCTGCCTCCTCCTCCTCTGAGGAGGAAATGGAAGTGTTGGGCCCTGCACCAGTGGAATACCTGCCTAAGCAGCTGACCCAGCAAGAGAAGTATCGGGAAGTGAGAACGCTTTCCAGCTGCAGCTTAGCTCCTCATTCTGGCAGGAGAAGAAAGAAATGGCACAGAGGTCAGCACATCAGTTGCCACCAGTTTCTCCTGAACCAGCACAGTACAGGAGAGAGCACTTGACAGCTTTAGAGAGATGAAGGAGTGCCTTTCTGATCGCCCAGCAGCGGTCAGTGTTCGTTCCTGGAACAGAGCCTTTGCAGCAGCAGGAATGACAAACAGATAGGGAAATAAAGGACTTGTACCTGGAGGACGCCAAACTCAGCAGTTAGAAGCAATACCTGGGCTCTGGGGATGAGTCAGCTAATGAGGCAGATAAAAAGAATACACTGAGCAAGGCTCAGTGTGGAGGCAACTTTGCATGTTATACAACTCTATGAGCTGACCTGCTGCCTTTGTAGTATGTCCTTGCTAACCTTTGCTTATGTTCACAGCTAGAGATCTAGACCTTGCACTGGTTCTAAGCCCTGGACCCTGGAACCTCTTTTCCTCTGACCCCTGGACTGAACCTTTGGATCCCTGATGTTGGACTTGTTTGAAGACCTTGCTCTTGTTTCTTGTCTTGTTGATTATCATTGTATTTGTGTATCGTGGAAACCCTGGGTAGAGTAACAGTGCCAGGCTTTGCCCTGAATGTGACAATGGGTCTGAAATTAATTTCTATTCTAAGCATCCTCATTCTCATCTGCTCTGTTGCATATCTTTCTCTTTTATTTATTTATTTATTCAATTTATACCCCGCCCTCCCCACCAAGGCAGGTTCAGGGTGACTTACACAAACATTTTAAACAGCTAAAACAGTACATTTATAAAAACCAATCATAAAGTGCTTGCGTGCAATGTAAGCCCTGTAAGCCGCCCTGAGCCTCCGGGGAGGGCGGGATAAAAATGTGAATAATAAATATAAAATATAAAATAAAATGTGTCTTTACTTTCTAATGAGAGCACTGGCAGGCAATTGGAGCGAGAATTATACTTACTTTCATTGCCTCCTTTGTTGGGGAAGGGGTGCCTCAACATAAGAAAGGATGCAGAAGGAGAAAAACAGCTACCCAATCTCTGTTTTTATTCATTCATTGCAATCCATCTTGCTGCAACTACCCTATAAAAAGGAACGTGTGCTTCTGAACAGGTTCAAAATGCCTTTTAGTCATCTCTCAACCCCTTGTACTTCCCCAAAACATAGGATTAGGACAAAAGAATGGAGGTCATAATATATAGGCAGCCTCAAGGAACACCCCCTCTCACTATAGGTAAAGTATTAAAGGGGAAATCTCAATACATTTGAGCTGAAAATAAGAGTTGTCAACAAGCCTGGAGAAAAAAATGTTCTGTCCCTTTAATATAGACAGAATGTGTGGAAAAGGAACGTTGGACTTACCGTGAAGGCTTCTTCTACTCTAAGGAAGAGAGGGCATCCTAGCATGGATGATGCTCACTGATTAAGGAGGCAGATTTTAATTCCACACTTCCTATCTTCAGGGGTGGTGGTCACCCTACTCCTGAGTTCAGGTGTTCCCTTAACCATATGTGATTCACTGCACTTTTAAAAGCCTAGAAGTGCTGTACAAACAGGTAAAGGACTATGAAGGGTTAATTCCTCACAGACCCAGAGAGCCTTGAGTGACAGGCTGCTCCAAGAAATCTGATTAATTAGCACCAGCTGAGCAGAGAAAGACTTCTGAACTGGGTGCTGAGGATAATTCATTCAGAATTCAGCCCTGACTGAGATCAGTAACACAGATGGAGAGCTGGTGGAAAGTTGGCAAGGAAGAGTGGATAGTTAGGTGAAGACTCCCATTCAGGCCAAGAAAAGGGAACAGATCGTCTAGTGAGAGGAATTACCCTACCCAGTTAAAACAGGAAGATAGCTCTGAAGACTGGAGAGATCCTTTGTCTGGTGTGGTTAGAAACTGCCTTGTGAAAACTTCAGAGTCAATTAAAACAAGAAGAGTACTGGTGTGTTTAAAGAAGGGGTTTGGGCACTGGATAGAGTGGCCCAGCCTTCTGGAAATCAAAAGAGTCAGTGAATGCTCAAAGTATTTGGGAAACACTGGAACAAAAGCCTGTCATCTTGAAGATCCTAAGTCACCCGGGAAAGCTTATGAAACTCTCAATAGCCTGAAAAGCATATGAACTAAAGTCTGTGTATATACTGATTTCCTTCAGAGTTATCTATATTACCTCAGAAATTTTACCCCAATTTCACCTGACCTTTCCCATCTAGAGAAACTGGTATCTTTCATGATCCATTACCGGCCTCTCAACCAGACTGGAGAACAATGGTCTTAACAGTCGAGGAGGATCCTGAAGACCAAGGGAGCTTCCTCAGATCATTTCCTCATCAGCTTTAAAACAAGGGTAACCAGCAGAGGGCCTTATAGTAGATAAATCCCTTGGGCCTCCAAATATGTGAGCTCAGCTTTACTCAAGAATCCCTGGTTCCAGCATCCCATATTATGATCTTTGGTCTGTCCAATCAGCCAGCTGGCCTATGGATTTTATTTGCCTTGAATATGTTTGTGCATAAGGATAGGTCAGAATTAGAAGATCCTTCTTGGACTGACCGTAACTTGGTGTCTTCCTGCTTTACTGGTAAGGCAGCTGAATGCAACTTGTCCATAATATCATCTGTCCTGATCAGCCCATAGGAATATTCTACCAGGAAAAAAAGGAAAGAACCAGGCAGTGACCCAACTTTCAGTAGGCTGATGTTCTGCATCCAGTCAAAAATCTAGGTTCCTTGGCTCAAACAGATAACTCCTGACCTGGCCCAAGAGGCCAGCACCTGTAAGCAATCTGCATCACAATCTGCTTACAACGTTTTCATTAGAAAGGTGGGCCCATTTGGATCACCATCTGCTGTTCTGTTGACAAGCAGGCTGATAAGCATCTCTCTCTGATCTCCTGTGAAGGTAGGAGAAACCACTGCCAAGATCACCCAAGTATGGAGTCACAGCAAGGTGCTATTAAACTTTGATGGTGTGCAAGGAAATTACAGCCCACCTATGTCCTTCTGTTATCTGGGAGGTTGACTTGTCATCTTCTATTCTTTCGGTGCACAAGACTATTTATGGTGGAAACCAATTGGACTCTGGAGTAATAGAAAACCTTCTCCCCTGCCCCCCCAGCAGCGACAACGAGGCCCGCGTGGCTCCCAGCTGCCAGGAATGTCAAGCCCCCCCCCCCCCCCCCCCGGGCAGCTGAGTGCATCTTACAAAAAATCTTTTAGAATACATGCTTTTAGGCCATAGATTGAAGTGGCAATGTCTGATAAAGAAAAAAAGTAATGCTTCAAAACAACCTGTAAAGAAAAAGGGGTTAGCCATTAGTGAAGGAAAATGTATAAAAAGTCTATTTAGAAAGCACATACAACTACATGGATACAACTACCAGGATACAAGGAAATCCAATCACTACTCCCAAGAGAACATGAATGACGAAAATATTAAAGAACTGAATGACATCCTTGAAAGTCAGCCACAAATCAAAAAGCTGGAAGCCAAATGAATAACATATATTACAGCTGCTAGCAGGATGTTTCAAATTATCTTCTTCAGATAAATAAATGTTATTCTTTTCTTCAACTATGAAATGTGAAGATATCAGTTTCTCGCTAACTGGCTCACACAGTGCATAAGGATGGATATCGGGTGCACAAAGAAAGATCAGCAAGACCTTGAGATCACTCAGGAAGAAGTGACTGGACCAGGGGTGGAGCCCCGCATAACAGTGAGTGTGCTTCTAAGTTGTTGCTGAGACTGACCTCCAGGGTTCCCACGGAACAGGTACAGATATACAACAGAGAGGAGAGGATTGTGCCACAGAGCCTCTGTGATAGAACTGGATCTCCATCCAGGATTGTTAGCATTTCATGACCTGTCCAGGGAGTTTCTGGAACAAAAATCACCTCTGGTCCCCATTCTAAGGGCAGCTCAGTCACAAAGGCCTAATCGACTGCTCCAATGTCTAAAAGGCACTGCATAGCATTTAGAGTGCATTGGTGTGTTGGATTTAGAGATTCTGATGTAGAGTTGCCAGGCGGTCTCCCATCCAGATCCAGGCCTGCTGGGCTTCAGCAAGATCACTGTATTGTTGTATCACATGCCTTCAGATCAGAACAGTTTTCCACGCCTCGTTGAGAGGAGGACTGATGAGTTGTGTTGAGTACCTGAACCTGGCAGGCCTCTCACCCATCTGGCTACACAGATTGGATTCCGACATGAACGAAAAGAAGTTCCATGCCATATTCCATTTTAATAATTAAAGCACTAGTTAATAGCCATGCTGCCCCACCAGTATACCATCCTTCACAACTGTTCTGAAAGTTACCTCACACCAGTGGTTCTTAAGTTTTTCTGTTACAGAGGCTTGTGCATGAACTGTAAACTGCATTTTTACACTGTAAAGATCATACAATTTATGCCTAAACACATGTCTAAACTTATTGTACGTTTCAGAATTCACTTCTAAACTTTCAAAGTGAGTGCCAAAAACTAAACTGTCTTTCTCCCCATCATAAAAGTACCAGAAACTCACGTTTTATTTTTAATGTTTAGTATTTATAAATACAGAGCATTTCTGAGCAACAGGCTGCAGTTCACAGCCACTTTACACATTAGGCAGACACAACCTAAAATCTGCTCCTAACAACTACCTCCCAACTCACCGCATTCCTTCTCCTCCCTCCTGGCCTTGCTATGACAAGGATTGCTACTGGAGCCGGTGCTATTTAATTTGTTCATAACTGATCTTGGGGGAAGGTTGTTGCCAAGTTTGCAGATGACACCAAATTTTTCAGATGGTAAAAATCAAAGCCAACTGTGAAGAGCTCCAGGAGGATCTCCACAGAGTGGGTAAGTGGGCGACAATGTGACAAAAGAAGTTCAATGTAGATAAGTGTACGATAATGCACATGGGAACAGAAAACCCCAACCTCAAGCATGCGCTAATGGGGTCTGAACTTGTTGAGACTGAGACGGAAAGAGACCTTGGGGTCATAGTGGATAGCTAAATTAAAGTGTCAACCCAGTGTGCCATTGCATTAAAAAAAAGTGAATTCCATGATGGAGATTATTAGGACAAGGACTGAAAATAAAGCAGCCACTATTATAATGCCCTTTTATAGATCTATGGTGTACCTCATTTGGAATACTGTGTGCATTTCTGGTCACCATATCTCAAAGAGGACACTGCAGAGCTAGAAAAAGCAAGAAGAGTAGAATTAAGACTATTAGGTGGTTAGAAAAGAGACAACTGAGAGCAGGTACATGATAAGAGGTTTATAAAATTGTGCACAGAGTAAAGAGAGTGGACAGAAATAACTTTTTCTCCCTCTCCCAAAACACTCAAACTGGAGGGTATCCAATTAGCTGATAGGCAATAGATTCAGGACACTTGATACAGTCAGTGATTAAAATGTGGAATTCACTGCCAGAGGATGTACAGATGACCATAAGCATAGCCAGCTTTAAAAGGAGGTCAGACAGATTCTAGCCATGGTGACTAATGGAATTTATTTGTTGATTGCTGATTACTGAACTGATTTGCTGTCTATGATTAAATTATGATATTAAAATAGGGCTTGCAAATTAATTAGATGGATTTCATACTGACCTTGATTAAATTTACTGGTCAGTAATGGGATATTATAGTCAATCAAATTGGATTATTAGATCAAATTGGTGGGTTATAGTTAAAAATAGAGTAATTTAGAGGTTCGCAGAGGAAATAACTGGAGTTAGCCTAGGGTACAGCAATTTATGTGGAATCAGTTAACTAGCTGCCAGGAGCTATATACACTGGTCACCAACATCTCAGTCAGTCTTGCTGGTTGGTCTGTGGCACCCACAAAAACCATCACTAAGGGATGATGACTGGACTTGGGATCCCAGTGCTCCTGGGGAGGGGAAAGTATAGCCGTGGGACCAGGCATAAATGTAAGGGAAGAAGGCAGAGAAGTAGAGTACCTCCCCTCCCTTCCAGCCTGTGTCCCATCCCAAAGGTTGCAGGTAGTAGGGCTAGGTTGAATAACCCCCCCTCCAACACCGGGGTTGTGCAATGCCAGGTCTATAAACAATAAGATGATGGTCCTTCGGGACTTTCTGCTTGAGCAGAATGTAGATCTGGCAAGATGGGGAGACAGTAGCTCTCTCCCAACTGGCTCCTCCCAGATTCTTGGTCCTTCACTAATCGTGGACTAGGGGGTGGGGGGTGGCTGTGTTCATTTGGGAGGCTTACTCCTTCAGGGCGCTCCCACCACCAAAGATTGTGGGCACTGAGTGTGCTGGCCTGGTGTGGGAAGCCGGGGAGAGTTTGGCTATTTGGCTGGCGTACCATCCACCCAATGCACCGGCCAACAGCCTGCCATCCCTGCTGGAGGCTATGTCGGGCTGCGCATTGAAACACCCTAGACTGATTGTCCTGGGTAATTTCAATGTCCACGCTGACAATGCAGCCTCCAGTCAGGCAATGGACCTAGTGTCGTCCATGGTGACAATGGGATTCTCCCAATATGTAACAACTCCCGCCCACTGGGTCAGACACACTGTGACGACCTCTTATTTGGGGAGGTCTAGTTTTACTTTAAAAATGTTCTTTATGTTTGCTCTCAGGGTAATCTGGCTGCCACCAGGGAAATTTAGGCTTTCCCGACCTTTTCCTATAATATTTTTCCTACTGGTTTTGGTATTGTGACCCAGGGTCCGGGCTTTCGAAGGACTATGTGTTTCCTGGGAAGAATTTCGTTCAGAACTTGTGTCTTAAATAAAAGTAGATTTATTTGACGTTCACACACTCTTCCCTCTTATTGACAGGGATCAGGGCATGTCACTTTGTAACAATATTTTCCTTAGGCCATATATGGTTACTGTTTCTTTATGCTTTAACTTTTCATAACACACACAAGACTTCTCTCTCTCAGACCTTAAAATGAACAAACTGCTTAACTCTTTTACTACACAGAACCAAATCTTTCCCTCACAGGGATGAGTCTCCTTAAACTCAGAGACAGCACTTAACTCATAGCAACTGCTTTTACACAGCACACTCTTCTGACTGACTAACTGTTTTACTGTTAAACCTTAACTGTCATTTCTCCAA